CTTGTCGAAACGTTGTACATGTGCTGTTAAACTTAAATTAAAGTTTTTCTTCATTACCCATTCAAGCCGTCTCCAAGCATTATTAGTCTCAAAGTTGCTTCCTCGCCATCGAAAATCATTGATAAGTTATAGGAAACTCGGGTAATAATGCTTGGAGACGGCTTGAATGGGTAATGAAGAAAAACTTTAATTTAAGTTTAACAGCACATGTACAACGTTTCGACAAGGTTTTGTCATCATCAGGTAAATATTTGTTTGGCCACCTGTGGCTCAGTGGTAAGTCTGAAGGTTTAAAACGCTAAAAATCGGATTCAGATACCCATGTTAAGCACAACACACATAGCCCATTGTGTATCTTTGCGCTTAACAACAAATAAACAAAATATTTGTTTTAATTTTCGTTTTATCAAAGAGTCTTATCCATTTCCGAAGGTGTCGCTGTGTTTTCTGAGTATACCACTGTATAATGGCGGCACCCGGCGAAAGCAATAGTACTAGCATCCGTAGAGGCAAAAATAGTAATCCTAAAACTCGATTGCGTCGAACACAGAGTGTTACTCGTGTGCAGGATGTAAATGAACGGGAAAAGAGGGAACGAGCTGTTCAACCAGATAACCCGTGAGTTTAAATTAATATTTTGAATTTTGTGGAAAAACATGCTTGAAAAGTTCAGTAATTTATTCATGAGAAAAATAACGTAATTTACATTTCACATGTTATTGGAAATCTACAACTATAAGGGCGCTTACTTAGTCATATATGGTATATTATATATACCATATTTAACATTACACTCTGAAATTTTACTTGTGTCATTTAGATATTCAGCTACCTGAGAGACTGAATGACACTGACGGTGAGTGTAACGAGTTTGCTTTCAGTTACAACTTGCACTTTTATAGGGCCCAGTTTCTTTTCCCAATGCTCCTTACTCCATTAGCCTAGTGTTGTTGGAATGACTTACCAGAAGTTACCCTGTTACAGCACCAAACTACGAATAATTTAATTTAATTTATTATAACTATCAGTTCTTTTAAATTAATTATAATAGTAATCGAAAAATTAGAATAAATGTTGGTGAGGCTTTTCATTATAGAAATAAAATATAGATTTTCATTGAATAGTATTAACATTAACAAATGGTTTCATATTGTTTGAACTTGTATTTGGTCCTTTTTTACACTATAAAGCGAGGCTTACCAATAAAATAATAAAGTTTAAAATTTTAATTTTATAAATTTTAAAAATCTAAATTCCTTCCGTTTTTCTTGTTTGGAAAGAAATATACACCGTATCACTGTATTAACAATGTAATAATATTACATAAAACTTACTTATGTCTTTTTCAGTTAAACACTGTACTTTTCTGCAGATTCCATTTGAAAGTGTAATTTAAAATTACTAAAATCACCATTCAATAGGTATTACCAGGTATAATCTGAAGTGGAACTTGACTGTCATTCGTGTGACTTCTTTAATATATACCTGAAGAAATGGATGAAACGCTGAGAAATATTCTTCACTTGAGGTTTTACGAAAAGTGTTTCGAGTCATTTCATTGTGGTTTCACGTTTTCAGTTTTTTTTGGTTGCTGACTATTACTTATGTGTCAGATATGGATGAATAAGGAGCATAGAAAGTTTGAAGGCATAAAAATGTTGCTTATATAAATTTATTGGAATCAGAATTCATAGCAAAATGATTATTATACTTTAAATTAAGATATTAAAATAAGAATATAACATGGTTGTTGAAGTCAATTGGACATATAACTCATTCATTAAAACCAATAAAATGGAATTAAATGCTCTTAAGTTCACATAAAAACAGCTAAATTAATTGTCTAATATTCTTTTGCTATTTCTTTAAGGGTACACGAGCCAAAGGATTCTTTGCTAAGCTTTTCAAGTGGATATACGAACTACAGAGGACTCCTAAATTTGTGTATTATTCTTCTGGTGAGTTATGTAGTTCCATAATAAAATTTTTTTTGTGTGGGAATTTATTAAAAAGAAAAAAACTTACATTCACGATGCTTATATTTCAAGCTTTGTGAATTGATCATTCTGTATACTGCGAGACCATCTTAGGAAATCATTTTCAGGGTCATTCATAATAGTTCCCATTCCATGAAAAATTAAAGAACAAATATCTGTGTTTAACTGCACAATGATAATTTTTCTTGTAGTTAAATTAAAGTGAATTTGTAAAAACATTTCTTTATAATGTAAATATATATAAAAGCTAATTTTTACTTTTTAACAAAGGTTTTAGGTTTGTATATACTGTAAAAGTGAAGAAAAGTATAGAAAATTAATTCAGTTTCAAAATTATTTTTATATTTCAAGTCATGCTAGTAAGATTTTAACAGTCTTATCATGGTCATGTGATACAGTATCAGTAAAGAAGTTGTCATATAATAACAGTACTCAGAACAAATGATTGTTCAAGCATTATGTACGTATTGTTTTCACCAATTTCATCATAAACCAGAATGTGTAAACTACTAAGTTAACTTTTTTCTTTTTTTGTAATTATTTTGACAATGATGTGTTCCATGAAGAAAAGAATCAGACAGATAATATAAGATATAAAAGTAGAACCAGCATAGAATTTAATGCAATAATTAATGCAGTACATTTTGTATAATAAACTATGTACCTTGAGGCAAACAATTGGAAATATGAAAATAGTAGTTAACTTTTCTGTACTGATTTTCTTTTATATCATTCAGTTTTTAATGGTGGTTTATAACTTTGTGAAACATGACCTTATTTAATCATTGTACATAAATGACAGTTTAATGAAGATGTTAAGTTTGTTGTAAAATTTTATTGACAATAACGTTAGATGACAACTTTATAAATGAAAACACTTGACAATCATGCATAAATTTATTATTATTGTGAAATATATTTAGAAGCATATTTGAAAAACATAAATTCATTATAAATTCTATGTTACTAAGAGTCCATGAAAACAACATAGCTTAATCCTCAAGTTCAAATTAGATTTTGACATTTCAGAGAGAGGGTGATTTTTTTCATATAATTTTTAGATTGTTTTTTGTCATTAGGTTCTCTCTAATGCCAGAGTTGCCTTGGAGAATATCATTAAGTAAGTACAAAGGGATTTGTAGTAATTGCCACAAAACTATATATAGCTTTGAATTACAAGCAATCCAGCATATATAACAACAAAATCTAAAAATGTCAACAAAGTTTTGGCTCATCCTGCATTACATTTTAAGTATAAGTACGTGACTTTTTTTTTGGCAGTTGTGAACTTTGATCAGAAATTCTGGTATTAAAAACACAAAGTCAGTCTTTTCATTAAAAAATTTTATGGTTTTGTTTTCATTCGAATATTTGTGGTTCTTTTATGAAAAGTAATCTTTTCAAGAAATTTGCATTGTACTTGTTGCTTGCTGAAAATATACTTAAAATAAACTTTAAGACAAAGTATTGGTGTACATGTACCTATTTATGAACTGAATCAAAAGTACATTTTAGCAACTCCAAAGTTTTATCATTTTAATGCTAATTAGCTACTAGCTTTGTTTTTTTTTACGTATATATAGTATATTCAAGGCTCATAGTTGGATGGTAAAGTTCATAAAAAAAGGTTTCAAAATTTCCTTATTTAGTGTTTAGCTTTTTAAGTTTTGGTGTGTTTAGCAAACTTTTTGTTGGCTATACCTCCATCCATAGTCAAAACTGAAGAATTATTTAAAAAAATTACTCATTCATTTGAGGTTATAATGTATACTACTCCATCATTTGCATTTGATTCACTTGGTTAATGTTGTAATACATAAATAGTTTTTAGTTTTGGTTTAACCCATATGTAGGGGTGGGGATTGCAAAAAAAATATTTTGAAGATTTTTTAGTCCTTTTGGCCCTTACAGAGTTGCTAATTTGGTTCCTAATTCTGGAGTTTTTGTCTCCTGTAGTGTCTAAATTGTACATCCTTTATTGCTATATATGTTATGTAAGACAAAAGCTTTTCATCTATACTCTTTAACTCTTTATGATGTGAGCAACCATGTTTTTAAATTTAACAGTGGGTATATTGGCCTACCTGTATTAAGTATAGTAAGAAAATTTCTGAATTATATCATTTCCTCCTGTCTTTCATGCTAGACATCAGTACTTGACTTGCATAAACTAATTTCCTTGTTTATATTTGCATTGAGCATACACAAAATGATAAAAAAGTTTTCGAACCAATGTGTGTGTATATACAGTATGTGTGTATGTATATCTATAATATATATATATATATAGTGTGTGTGTGTATAGTATGTATATATATAGTTTGTGTATTTATATATATATATATTGGTAAAATTGTTAATGTGGTTTTTTAGCACCAATATTGTGATTTTATCTACATTATGAACTTCTTCTTTGTTATAGATATGGGATTCTGGTTGATCCTGTTCAGTGGTTCAAAGTGTTTATGGGGAAACCAGCAAATTGGCCATCGGTGTTAATAGTACTAGGTATGTATTGGTAATGTTTCTATTAGTACATTGACAGTAAGAAGTTCACATGAAAATGAGGTGTGAAAAATGTAAGATATTTAAGTAAATGTCCAAATATAATGAATCTCTCAGAAGAGTGAACATGATAGTGCTTCATGTTTACAAAGTTTATAGTGCAAAAGATGCCTGTTCTAGAGCATAAAAAATACGGGATAGTACACATGCATATATGTTTGGCTATATTCATACTGTAAACAAAGGGGTATTTACAGAATTTACAAGATCAAAATAGGTAAAATGGCCTTGATGTTTTCTAGATAAACTCGCATAAAGCTGTAACAAAATTTTTAGAAAAATAACAGGAGGAAAGTAGTTAATATCCAACTTAGAAAGTTTAATTTATTTTGAAATTCATGAGATAGATCTATAAAGAATGTTTTATTTAAAGATCATTACAATTATGGTATTTTCACGTTGTCCATAATTTATAGAGTAATTAGAAGTAATGTATATGTTAATCTAGCTTTTGATCTTCCGGCGTAAGATATTACAAAACTTGAAGATTTAGTTATGTAGTGATTCACTGAGAATTAAAAATTTGACACCTTTACTTTATATGTCACAAAAAGTAGGAAAGAGGCATGAGCCACACAAGAAAAATTTGGTTTATTACAGTGTAATTACTATTATTTTTATTACTATTGTTAAAGAGTACTAGTTTTTGGCAATTCTCAAGTTATACATGTTTTATGATTTTCTTATTTATTTTATCTCTCTTTAGGTCTTAATTGTTTCTTTCTTTTGTCTTTCTTTGTTGAAATCCTCTATTCAAAGGTAAGTCAGAGTTTAAAACCTAATAATCTCTCTGTAGTTTAGACATCAATATAAATTGTCAAGTTTGGTGTGATTATTTAGTAAAGTTCAATTTTTCTCCTTCACCAAAAGTTTTTATTTAAACGAATGTTAGACTAAAATATTTTTGTAACATTTTCTGTCATTGGGTGAGATCTTTTATATTGTTTGGTAAAAATAATTCCAAGTCCGCTACACTTAACGATAACAAATTAATTTAGTTTTTCAATAGTTTTATTTTTTACTGGCTACTTTCACTGGTAGGCCTGACTTATTTACAAACATTTCTTCACTAATCAATCAATAACAAACTCAGTAACTTGATCACTGTCAATCATAATAATTAGCTCTCACTGTTTAACTCACTAGAACTCTTAACTGACACTAAACTGATTAATTAACTTGACTTACTCAGTCTGGCATTTTTATATTGTACTAGTTTTCTACATAGTACAGTAAGCTTCACAATCCCCTAGTGGACTAAACTTCTGGATTTTGTACGATCATTATATCATGTAAAAAAAAACACTTTAGTGAAGAAGACATTAAAATATTAAAAATATAGCCTACAATAATATAAATATTCATAGTTTTTATTGTTTCAGATATACTCACCTCTGTCTAAACCTTTTTTCAAACAAGAATATATTTATATATAAAAACAATTAATCAAATATCAAATCTTGAATAATTTTCGTTTCATTTTTTACTAGAATAAACTCCGTGAAATAACTGGAAGGGTCATTATAGTGACCAGTCTTTCTGCTGTAATCATCTTTCCTGTTATTATAGTCTTCACAACCAATTGCAACCCAAGTATGTATAAAACTACTGAAATAGTGTTATCATTTTGTAACTGTGTTGAATATAAAAAATAGAGTTCCAAGAACAAATCAACAACTGATCTAATTGAAAGTTAACATTATACTTGAATGTAGTAAAAAGTACAGGATATTAATTTATTTTAAATATTGTTATTACTTGCACTGAAAATTGAATTATTTAGTTTTATGTAAAAGTTTATTTTGCCTCTAAAGTAATCAATTACTCATAGTTTTTGGTTAACAAAGCAAGTTTTGCAGTTTTATGTGAAACTCGAAAATGTTTTCCTAATTGATATTAACTCCCAATCAAAGCAAGTTACCTACTTAGAGTGAAAATAAAAATCAACATGTTAGGGAGTATAGTTAATTAAGTATATTAAATAAGTATAGTTAATTAAGTATAGTTAATTAAGTTTCATTAGTTCGGTACTTTTACTGTTAATGATATTTTTGGCTGTAAAGCTGTAATTACTTAAATGCAGTATCATGACATTTTACAAAACATTTCCTAGTACAGTAAACGACTTTATTCTCAAACTTACAGTGAACTAATAAACTATTGGACTAAACTTGATTAAAAATAAAATTGAATAATAAAGTAATTGAATAATTTGCTGGGAAAAAATGGTAATCACTGTATAGGAAATACGTACACTATTACTTATGTTTTCACGGGTACAAATTTTATGATATAATTTTCGTGTTTATGGTTTTTTGACATGATAATGGTTGCTTTTATGATATCCGATAATCTAATTTGTATACATCCAGAAAACCTTTTAATGAAATAATTAATTGCTGAATCCATTTGCTGGCAGTAAAATGAACCGGCAGACACTTATTACAGCTGTAAAATGAACCAGCAGACACTTATTACAGCTGTAAAATGTCATAGAATCCTCAATTGCAGTTGTTGTTTACTGCACAGTATTCAAAATTCTTTGTCATGTGTGATTTTGGCCATGTAGTATACAGGTGTATTTTCCTCATTAACATGACCAGAGTTATTTTCAGGAGGGATTGTTTCTGAAATAAAGAACACATGTAGGTCTAAGTAAGCTGTGAATTGGAAGCAGCCCAGTACAAGGTCCATAGTATTGTTCATGTCAGACTGAAGAAACACAATAGTAAATGAAAGAGGTTATTAATATAAGATTATAAAATCACATTCAGCAGTTTTTGTAGCACTAAGTTCAATTTTCCATGATAATCGTAATTGAGGGTCAAAATGAGAGCTTTTCACACCTGACAATCACCCCCCCCCTAGCAATGCCCACAAGCTGTATTTCATATGCAGTAAATGTGACATAAATAAAAAAATACCATTTTTAAACCTTTCTAAATTGAACTTAAAGAATTTGTGTGATTTAATAAATTAAAACATTTTAGTTATTTGAATGAGATGAAAATATTTATTTTCATATTAACTTGTACTTATTCTTATGATATCAGTGCTGTTGGGCCAAGCATGGGTTAGTGGTTAGCATGCTCAAACTGTGAATCTGCGGGTTCATGCACGGTTCACAGCCTGTGCTGCAAAATGCATTCCACACTTTGAGGTTGTGGGTACGTTAAGAGTAATGATCTAATCATTAAACCAAGCAAAAGTTTCTCCAGAGTAGGCAATGGGTCTTTTTTTTTTGTTCTCTGCTTTCCCTCTTGTCTATTAGGTGAAAATTAAGGATGGCCATGCACGTATAGCTTTTAGTGTAGGTATTAGTCCAAAAATTCTGAAACAAATGTAATCTTGTCTACCTTTCACTGTGTAGTTGTTAAAATGTACCTTAGTAGGAGTAACTAGTTGGTAAACCATGCGAGAGGTCTTGAATCCAGGAGTTTCAAAAAAATTAATTGATCTTCTTTTCAATCTGTCCCAGTAAAAATGGATCAAAATTAGGAAAAATTACTTTCAGTAAAAGCAGGAGAATGCATAAAATTTAATTCAGAACCCAAACTTTCCAGGGCCCTAAAGCAAGCCCTGGACCCTAGCTGTTAATGGTGAGCCTATGGCATACATTTCTTCTCTTTGCTTGGTCAAATACACCTTGCTTCCCACCCACACACACACACACACTTTTAATTTGCCTCCTACTCCTCTGCAAGGCCTGTACAAAAACTAAGAGAAACACTGAAAATCAAGAAATGGGTAATATATTCCCAAGGGGAGATAGGTTCTTAGCAAGCAAGTTTGGTATCAATGGAAATTGAATCTGAGACCCTCAAAACATGACCCCTCCCACCCCTTTATGTTACTTTCTACTTAACAACAATCAAACATAATAGCAACATTTGAATTACTTGAGAACAATAAATAATTAGAAGTCCTAATTTGGATTAATTGATTTCTTTTTTGTAACATTTATCAGTCAATCATAATTTTGATTAATCAATTTGTTTACTAGATGCTAATCAGTGTAATTGCTACTCATAGGTGATTGATTAAATCACCCACCCAGCTCACGATAATAGGTTTTGCATCATCTTGCACACTGGTGCTTCCTACTAGCTTCGGAACTTAGACACGTATCGAAGAGCAAGAGTTCTGTTAGTCGTAATAGTTTTAATAGAGATAATTATTATGTATCTTAAATAAACGTCAAACCCACTGTTCTGTGATTATGGTAGCAACAGCAAGCACAATTCAAACAACAATCTTGGAGGGAGATATAAAATACTGTCTCATGCCACCACATGCTATGTTCCCTTAAAGGGGCCCTCAAAGGCTGTTCACCCATGCAGAACTTTCAATCCCTGTGGACACCTTTATTAATATTTACAAAAATAATAATAAAATAATTATGGTTAATAATAATACACTAGAATGAAGTGGTAGGTCACTCCTGTGGTGCATTTAAAAAAAAATATGGCCACATCTGCCATCCAACTCATAAATATCTGAATCCAATAGGACATCAGCAGCTAGAGATCCAAAGTCCGATATCTTATCTAGACTACTATTTGTTTCATCTTTACTGTTATGTTGGGTAGGAAGTAAGCAGCTTCTTTATGGTAACAATTGAGAATATTTTTGGCCTACTATTAATATTAAGCCTTGTTAAAACCTTTTCAGAGATATCATGACACTTTTACACCAACAAAAATAGTACCAAAATGTAAAGGTTTGGTTTGATAATTGGTATTTGTTATCATAAAGGTGGGTCATCAAAATCTTGTGTATTGTTTGCTGATATAAGTCTTTATTTTTCAGTTGGAGCATCCGTTGCTCTTGGCTTTGTGAGTATCACATTTCTAAAACTTGTGTCATATCACATGGTGAACTTTTGGTGTAGAGAAGACAGAAATCAGACAGATACAAGTCGTCACAAACGACGTGGCTCCTTTGGCTTAACTGGTTTGTAGCAGTGTCAGTAGATGGATTTTCTCAGGCACATTAGTTATTATATAGTTTCAATGTAATGTTGGTAATTAAGTTGTATTTTGGGTCTTTCCCTTTTAAAGAAATCCACTTTATACATCTCTACTACATTATTATATAGTTTCAATGTAAGGTTGGTAATTAAGTTATATTTTGGGTCTTTCCCTTTTAAAGAAATCCACTTTATACATCTCTACTACATTATTATATAGTTTCAATGTAAGGTTGGTAATTAAGTTGTATTTTGGGTCTTTCCCTTTTAAAGAAATCCACTTTATACATCTATACTACATTATTATATAGTTTCAATGTAAGGTTGGTAATTAAGTTGTATTTTGGGTCTTTCCCTTTTAAAGAAATCCACTTTATACATCTCTACCACATTGTGGATAAAATTTTGAATATATCAAATTATCATCTTACAACAAAGTAAAGAAATACTTTAATATTTTTTGAGTAACATTTCTATCAAATAATTAAAGAATTGAACCGTGACTGTAAAAACTTTAATACAGTGTATCAAGTTAAAAAAATATTTAAAAACTTTATTACTTGTCAGCTTACCAACAGAAAAAAGAACATACAAACACCTGAATACTTATTGGACAAGTTTCTGTGAAGAGCTAGAAAATGTAGTCTGAATGAAATTACAGAGAAAATAAATACTTAAAAATACATTAAACTACCTGAAAATGGATTTTTAAAGCACTAAAATGATGACATGAAAAAAAAAAAGTTTGATTTTTACTTTTTGTTTTTTTGTCATAACTACATATTCAGGTTCTTGTTTACTTTTTTATATGTTGCAAAGGTAAATCATAGAAGTTCAGTGTCTGTTTTTTTTAATCGTGTTATTACAATTCCTGTTTAGATTAGATTTTCTTGCTTTTTTGTGATTTGGTGCTGTATGTATTATTGGATTATGTTGTGTACTTTACCATAGCAATGCTGATAAGGTTCATGGACCCCATGAGCTTTTTTAACCCCTTTTTTTAATCATATATTGCCACTTTGCTTGTGGGTCTGTAACTGTTGGTTATAAGGTTTCTAATGATGTATATTAGTCGTAAAAAATATGTAAACAAAATACCATCAACATCACTATTAATTGCTACTAATTAGGACTGAAGTCTTCCTTTGTTTTTTTACATAAAAAATGAGTAATTTCACCAAATTAATTTTGTTTAATATGATTCAATATTTGGATCTCACTGGTAGTGAATGATAGAAAAATAAATTCGTAATTTAACGGTTAAATATTGTCTACCAGTGATCTTAGACTTCATTATTTAGCCAAAGAATATTCTTGACTTTTTGTTTTGTAAAGTGTCAAGCACTGCAAATGGGCTGATTGGACTACCACTGGTTACTTATCCACAGAATCTCAATTTAAGAGGTAACTTTTTGTGCATGTTTTGAAAGTCAAACCATTTGTTTCATTTGTTATGTATAGTAATATGATAACAAAACAAAATGATTAACTTTTGTTTCAAAATATTATTCAAATTAAAAAAATTTCAAAAGATTATTTCTGTGAATATAGTTTGTATAAACTTGTGCACATTGCTTTGTAAACAAACAAACATTTATTTTTAAGAATGTTTAACGAATGAATGTGTGTAAGGTCCAGGACATTAAACAAATTCTAAAATTTTTAATTAATTTGCTTTATAAACATCTTGTTATGACTTTAAAAATATTTGAGGCTCCTGAACAAACTTGTCCGTACTGTCTGTACGTACTCTCTTTGAAGGATAAGATAAAAATGTTCTTGTATTATTATTTCAGATCTATATTACTTCATGCTTGCTCCAACGCTTTGTTATGAACTTAATTTCCCAAGGTCAGCCCGTATTAGGAAAAGATTTCTTTTAAAAAGACTGGTTGAAATGGTAAGGGTGTTTCGTCTGTAAATAGATTTTTTTACTTGTGTATGGAAGCACGTTAAGCCAATATCACAGTAAGTTACCTGAAGAAGGTAGACTGATGTGCTGTTGAAACATAAACGATGTTTTCCAAAAATACAACTTCATCATGCTTATAAATTGTTGTTTGTTAATTTACTATAGATTTTATTATTTTGAGTCTTTGTTTAAAAAAAGAACTTTATCTGTTTAAGTACTTTTTGAGAGTATAATAATTATGTGAATTTTGAAAATTAAATTTAGCAATTAATAAAACATTAAATTTATAATATGTATTAC